CAGTTAGAGTGAAGTCATCAAGTTGACTTCAAGGAAGGCCGATGACTTTGAGGATGCAGGTCTACATCTTCAGTCCAGCGTCCTGCGATCTGCTTCCAGGGTGCCACCGTTCTTGTATCCTAAAGAACACAAGGTCTTCAGGTGCTGCGTGGGAGCCCATCCAAGGCCCCCTCCCAGCCCAAAGCCCCTTGAAGGCAGGCTGAGGACACACCCTGGGATTCCATCATCTCCCTTGTGACCTCAGAGTCCTTGCTTCCTTCTCTTTTTGCAGATTTTTTCCTTTACAGAAAGCTAAATTCCTAAGAATAGCCCACTGCGATCCTGTCTGTGGTCACTCTGGGCGTGAGTAAACCCCTTCTCCCCACTCTTTTTGATCTTTACGGAAGATGGAAAGTGTGCTCAGTGCTTACTGCTCCTACTTCCTTGAAACCTCCCAGGGAGCTGAACTTGCTCAGCAAATTTCCCTTTCCACTCCATCATTCATTGAGAATGAGAATGCCCTAAGCCACACCCTCGCTTCCCTGCCCTGCCCTTTTGGCTTTCAATAAAAGGCAAGCAGAGCAGTCAGAGGAGCAGAGAGGCTGAGAAGAACCCTGAAGCTGCGGACTCTCCGGCTGACGCTCTCCTCCTCGTCACCCTCCAACATGAAGGTCTCCGTGGCTCTCCTCAGCCTACTGCTCTCAGCTGCCACCTTCACCTCCCAGGTGCTTGCTCAGCCAGGTAAGGCCACTTCTGCATCACCCTATTCTGGGTTATCAGAGCAAAAGAGATACGTAGACGCTCACTCTAACATCTGCTTTTTCAGGATAGGGAAACTCACAACAGGTCAAGAAGGGAGACTGATCACACAGCCTAACTAGAATTCATGTGAGGCACGCAGCGTGCTTTGGAAACCGAGAAAGAGCGCAGGGCTAGAGTACTAGCCTCCTTTTCCTACGCCCTGATATTTTGGGTTGTTGATCTCTCACGTCAATAGTCCGTGTGTTGTCAACTTTTCATAGTTCTCCCAGCTCACCCATCTACCCTTTCCCATCGCCATTTTGACAGAGTCCATGTGCCAAAGATCACATTGTGGCACTGGGGTAGATGCCGAGTAGTGGAATTTCCTCAGTTCTGCCTCTACTCTGGAGCCCCGTGGCACAAGTGTCCGAATAAGCAATTACTAGGTGAGAAACTGGCAGGTTGGACCTATACAGAGGGACTTTGAAGGAAAGACCTGGCCCTGCGTCTTCTATGTCACAGTCCAGAAAGTGGCATGGCGCACCATTCTGCCCTGCACCCCAGGGATGCCAGAGACAGAGCTGGCTGGGCAGCAGCGAACAAGAATAATGACCTCTACACTTACTAGTCTTTACCTTCTCTTCATTAAGCTTTTTGGATCTAAGTAAAAAGGGGGAAAAAACCCGAAACCATTCTAAACTTCTCTTTTTTCCATGTGGTTGGATTTCCAGATGCCGTGAATGCCCCCGTCACTTGTTGCTACTCATTCATGGAGCAGAGGATCCCTGTGAAGAGGCTGGTGAGCTACACGCGAGTCAGCAGCAGCACCTGCCCCAAAGAAGCTGTGATGTGAGTGGGTCCCAAGTTCTTCCGCAGGAAGTGAGGGACAACCCCCACACACTTAGAGCCATAGCGTCAAGAGCCCCACACCATCGAATCCAACGCCCAAAGGCTTCTGATGGGAAGACTGAGTCTAAGGGGGTGGGGCTCCCTTCTTCCCAGTTCACTCAGACCATCCCAAGTTCACTAGTCTACAGTCAGAATAGCAGCACCTGGAACACCCACTGGAGAAACCATGACCTGTAGAGAGGATGGGCTAACCCCCGTAGGATGAAATCCCAAAGGAAACGTCATGTAACCCTGGCCTCTTTCCTGCACAGCTTCAAGACGATAGCACGCAAGTATGCCTGTGCTGACCCCACACAGAAGTGGGTCAAAGACTCCATTGCCTCCCTTGACAAGAAAACTCAGACATCAAAGCCTTAAACGACAGCTCAAGAACCAACCCCAACCAAAGAAACAACCATTACCTAGGAACCGATGACAACGTGAGAACCAAATACAATTCAAGAAACCGCCCTGGTCAGCAAACTAGAATTCATGTCGTTTCCTCCACCTTTCCCTAAATTCTCTGATAGCCTCTCATTTTAATTTATAGATGATGAATTGTGTTTCTTGATATGAACTATGATGTCTTATATAGTATTTATTTAAGTTATTGATAGTTTAACTTTATCTTCATTAAATTATATTCTCTCTGTAAACCCTGATTGCACCCGTGAGACAATGTGGGGATATTTGCAAGGATCGCAAAGGCAAAGACTTTGGGTTTTAGTTCCCAAGGCATGATAAACATGTTACATGAAAGTGAATGTCATTCTATCATCATCAAACTGAATAAAAATGTCTGTACAAAGCCTGATTTTGGCGTTTTCTTTAAGGAAGTTAAAAATACTGGGAGTGAAAGTGGGTGACGAAGGAGGAGCGTGGTTTCAGAGGATGGGGCTCCTGCTTTGAAGAGTGAATCTGTGAATGGACCTTTGTCTTTTCTCCTGGGATGGGCTCATCTGGGAGAGCTAAGCAGGGGCTATGTTGGGTGGTTAAAAAGGAAGGCAGACTAAAGGGATTGAATGTCAGGGCAGGGAGTTAGTCCTCAACTGAGTAGATCAAAAGGGGATGGTGAACACTTTGGGTCTAATGAGGGGGGAAAGGTCAGCTCAGCGGTGAGTTTCAGGAGATGTAACTGATCCCCTTCACGCACACGAGGAGAGGTGAGAACCAGTGAGAGGCTCTTGGAGGGGTCTCAGGACAAGAGTGCGAGAGCAGCAAGTGGAGCCCCAGAGGGAGTTGGGGAGAAGAATGAGCTGGGCAGGTGACCGGCTGAATGCTGTCCCTGGAGGAGAAAGACCTGGGGCCAAAGATCGGAAAAGCCCTTCACCAACCTCCCTGAACGTCTTCTTTAAACAGCCAGCTTCTCTGAGAGCCAATACACCCCACCATCACTGAGTCCCATCTCAGTCCCAGGAGAATAGGGTACCCCGTTAAATGGACCGGATCTCCTTTCCCTAAATGCTCACCTAAGGTCTACTTCACTTCGCAAGGCTCAGGGTGCATCTCTGCCAGGCATTTGACCCATTGAAGACCACACGTAATCCTTCTACTTGCCTTATTAAATATTGTCTGTGTGGTCCCACCTTCCAGATCTGGGCCTGGGCATGTCTGGGAGGTCAGTGTGTCGTGGTTGAGTAGGCAGTGCATTTGGTAGCATGTGGTGCTGGGAAGGGCCTGGCCTGGCAAGACGGACACTTGAGTTCTAATCCCAGAACAGGCACTGATTGACGCCATCATGTAGGTCAGGGCAGGTAGTCTCGGAGATCCCAACAGCAAAATGGGAATGAGCATGGGCTATAAATGGAACCCAGGAGAACCTAGGCTCCCCCTCAGATTTCATGCACCACCACCACAAAAAACTGCCAAATTCACTCTCATCAAGTTCATGCTGGCTCTCAGCGAACCCACGTGAGTTTCTGAGGCTGTAACTGTTTACGGGAGTAGAAAGTCGAGTCTTCCTCCCGTGGAGCGGCTAGTGGTTTCAAACTGCCAGCTCTCTGGGTCCCAGCCCAACACGTAACCACGACACCACCGGGGGCTGCTGCCTCAGATCTCATAGCCCGGCTTATTAGAAAACTTGCACTTCGACCAACTGGGTAGTCTTTGCAATAGCAGGCAGAGCCCGTATTTTCGGCACATCAGTTACCTTTAGACAATCTTCTGAGGTAGAAATTGAGGTTCCCATGGAAACACAGGGATTTCGGAACCCCTTTCCTCAGGCTCTCAAAGACCGAGCAGAACAATGGACCTCTGTAGCCCCAGAACCTTCAAAGGTCCTTTGTACTTATTTTTTTAAGTGGTATCAATATTTTATATTGAAATCATCAAAATTGCTTCAAGAAAGCTCAATGGCTCTTCGGATTCAGTTCCATTTCTTCAGTCCAGCATTTATAGTTCTGCTTCCGGTGACTCCACCGCCCTTGTATTCCTAAGAACACACCAACTCGGGCTGTTGGTTGGGAACCCATCCAAGGTCTTTGGGGCTGTTCCCTGAAGGCAGTCTGGGGGCACATCGTGTCCACTCCCTTCTGACCACTGTATCCTTGCTGCCTTCCTTTTCTGCAGAGCTTTGACTTCAGAGCACTCGAAATTCCGAAGAATAGCCTACTGCGATCCTGGTCAGTCTGGGCATCGATGCATCCTTCCTCTCCAGAAGATGGAACATGTGCCCAGTGTTTCTGTTATTTCACAGAAACCTCCCGAGGGCTGAACTTGCTCAGCAGATTTCTCTTTCAACTCGGTCATTTACTGAGAATGCTGTTCCCCTAAGTCAGGCCTTCTCTTCCCCACTCCACCCTCTTGGCTTTCAATAAAAGGCAGTCAGAGAAGCAAAGAGGCTGAGAACAACCCGGGAGTCCAGAAGTTGCCAACTCTCAGGCTGACGCTCTCCTCCACGCCCTCCAGCATGAAGGTCTCCGTGGCTCTCCTCGGCCTGCTGCTCACAGCAGCCACCATCACCTCCCAGGAGCTTGTTCGGACAGGTAAGCCTTCACTGCTTCCTTTGAAGTGCATCACCCTATTCTGGGTTAACAGAGCACAGGGGTACCCAGAATCTCACTCTAACATGTATTTCTCAGTGGGGTAAATTCAGAAGATCTTAAACAGGGAGACTGATCACACAGCCTCTTACAGACAGGGCCAAACTAGAATTCATGGGACGTGATGTAGGGTTGCTTTGAAGCTAACAGGAGGGCACACTGCATGGGCTCCCTGGCTCATGGTCCATGAGACTGGTGATTGGGGTTATTTGTCTCTCTCTTAGACATTCCCAAGTGCTGTCTAGTTTTACAGTTCTCCTACCCCTTCCCTCTATTCTTTATCAATGTTTAAAAGCCATTTTACAGAGTATAAGACAGAGCCCACGTGTCGCCGATCGCATTGAGCCCCCGGGTATATGCAGAGTATTGGATAGTCATTGGTTCTACCCCTACACTCCGAAAGTCACCAGTGATACAAATGGCTAAACTTTCAGCTGTGAGGAGGGAAAAGGACCAGTTGGAACACACCCAGAGAAGGACAACAATCTAACTCTGAAAGATCACCGTCCTGAAAACTCGAGGAGGCTCAGTTCTACGCTGCACACCTGGGTGGCCATGAGTCAGGGTCGGCTAGTCAGAGGTCATCCACTATAATGATGACCTCTACCTCTACCTGCTCTTCACTATTCTGTCCTAAGATCAAAAAAATCTCACCCATTTTAAAATATTTTTTCTTTGTTGTTCCCCCCCCCCCCAGTCACCTGTTGTTACTCCTTCACCCACAAGAGGATTCCTGTGTGGAGGCTGGTGAGCTATGAGAGAATCACCAACGGTGTTTGCCCCAAAGAAGCTGTCATGTGAGTTGGCCCAAAGTTCTTCTTGGGGAGCAGAGGACAATCTCCACACACTTAGAGTCAGAGAGTCACAGTCTTACACCATCTGAATCAACTATTCCCAAAGAGAAGGTTGAGTCCAAGAGGGGGGAGTGGTGCCCTTCTGGGTGTTCATCCAGAGCATCCCGGGTTCTCCAGTCTGAAGTCAAAATGTCTTCATCTGGGACAGCCATTGGAGAACCACTCCCGGTCCCCTCCCCTTCTAGTTCCCATGGAAACCCATTGGGTTGGGTAGGCTGACCCTCCTAGGATGAAATCTCAAAAGAACTTCGTTGAACGCTGGCCTCTCGCTTCCACAGCTTCAAGACCGTACTGGGCAAAGCTGTCTGTGCTGACCCCAACCAGACATGGGCCAAGGACTCCATTGCCTCCCTTGACATGATAATTCAGCTAGCAAAGCCTTAACCCACAGCTCAAGAAGCTGCAACAACCCAAGAAATGACTGATCCAACAACCTAGGACTGATTTTGTTTTCTCCATCTTTCTTTAAATTCTCTGATATATTGTTATAATTTTGCAGAATACAAGTTTTGTTTACTGATATGAAATATGATTCCCTAAGTAAATGTTATCTTCTTTATATGATTGATATTTTAACTGTATCTCCTATAAATTACTTCCTTTCTGTGAACCCTGATTCCACCAGGACATTATGAGGATCTTGGATTAATGATCCTTGTATCATTAATGCAAAGACTTTTTAAAATGTTAATTTCTAAGATATTATAAACATGTTGTATGGAAATTAATATTACTATATAACTATCTAACCAAATATAAATCTCTTACTAAACTTGACTTTGGGAGTTTTCTTTAAGGAAATTAAAAGTACTGGGAATGAGGGTGGGTGACAATGGAGGAGCATGTTTCAGAGGATGGGGTCCTGCAGGATAAGAATGTCAATGGGTTCTTGTCTTTTCCCCTGGGATGGGCTCATCTCAGTGTGGGAGCGCTCCACAGGGCCCAGTTCACCTTTCCACCATCATACCTGCAGTCCCTAACATCAGACATCCAGATCTCAAAAACCCAAGTTCCCCTTAGCTAACTACTCAACGTCAAGCCCACACCTTTGTGTTCTCTCACAGCCCCCACATCTGGCTCACCAGCTCTTCCATAATCCCTTGCATCTGCCTTCTAACTGAGCTATTGTCTTCCAATCCCTCTCTCTTCAGTTAGTCTTCTCACCTGGAGTGATACAAATGCTACAAGCCTTGGGAAATCAGAGAGAGATGTAAAGACTACTGATCACATGGTTAGATGAAGGTTTCACAAAGAGGATGAGGCTTAATGATACCCTGGATCTATATCTATATGTGTTCATTTTTATTCTAGAAAAATTATAGAATCATTAAGAAAAAGAAAGAGAACAGTGAAAAATAAAAATAAAAAAAACAAAAAAACATCTGGAAGCAGAAATGACAATAGCATGAACATCAAAGAACAAATAGCAGTGCAATCCAAATAAAACTGATGCTCATTTGTTTTGTTTTCTGATATGAGGAGGTAATGCATTTGAAGTTTGTTCTACCAGATCGGACGGCTAATTAAGCTTTCTATTTTGAGGTTCTGAAAAGATTGTATTACAGTGTATGCTGAAAAGGCCTGATTTGTGGCAGACAGGGGACTGGTTTTACCACCACAGCCATGCAGCTCACGCAGACATCTCAGTGCACCAGTTTTGGGCAAACACAGCAGGCCTCTCTTGTCCCACGTACCTTACTCACCTGACCTCGCTCCCGGTGACTCCTTTTTGTTTCCACAAATGCAGAGGGCCATGAAAGAACAGTGACTTGACAGATATGGGAGAAGTGAAGGAAAAAAACAGGGGAGGTGCTGTTAACCATCCAAACACATGAGTTTGAAAAATGTTTCCAAGAATGGAATCGCAGATTTGACAAATGCATTAAGTGTAATGGAGAGTACTTTGAAGGCGATAAGGTTGTTTTGTTAAAAAAAAAAATTTAATATATACCTTTGAAAAAAATTCCACTTGGGGGGGTCACCCCCTGGTTGTATGTCTGTGTCTGCGATCGCATGGTTTAGGGAGGAAGGCAGACTAAAGGGATTGAACATCAGGACAGGGAGTTAGTCCTCAACTGAGTAGATCCAAAGGAGATGGTGAAAACTTTGGGTCCCATGAGGGGGAAAGGTCAGCTCAGAGTTGAGTTTCAAGAGATGTAACTGATCCCCTTCACACACACGAGGAGAGGTGAGAGCCAGTGAGAGGCTCTTGGAGGGGTCTCGGGACGAGAGCGCAAGAGCAGCAAGTGGAGCCCCAGAGGGAGTTTGGGAGAAGAATGAGCTGGGCAGGTGACAGGCTGAATGCTGTCCCTGGAGGAGAAAGACCTGGGGCCAAAGATCGGAAAAGCCCTTCACCAACCTCCCTGAACGTCTACTTTAAACAGCCAGCTTCTCTGAGAGCCCAATGTGCTCAGCCACAAACCAGCCACTCCCAAGAAACTCGAGTCACCCGCTTCAATGGACAGCATCACCTTTTCCTAACGGCTCACCTAAGGTCACATCCCTTTGCATGGCTCAGGGTGCATCTCTGCCAGGCATTTGACCCATCGAGGCCCACAAGCAGCCCTTCTACTTGCCTTATTGAATAAAGTCTGAATGGTACTAACCTCCCAGAATTTGGCATGGGTGCAATTGGGTGGCCGCTCTGCCGTGGTAAGCCAGGCAGTACATCGGGCAACATGTGGTTCAGGGAGGAGCCCTGCCTGGCAAGAACACTTCGGTTCTAATCCCAGAAAAGGACTGACATACTCCTTCCTGTAGGGCAGCTCAGACACTCTCTGAGATCCCATCAATAAAAGGGGGATAAGCGTGTGTTTCAAACAGAACCCAGGAGAACCTGAGTTCCTCCTCAGATTTCATAGCCTGCCAACTGGAGCTTCGGACAGGAGAAGGGATCCTGCTTCCACATGCCGGGGCCAGACCAGGTACCCTGATCAAGGCCAAGTGCTCCGAAAGACAGAGGAGCTCATCCAAGCCCCAAGTGACATGCCCCCAAGATGCCTTGATAATTCAATCAGCAGCTGACTTTTTGGCAGCGTTTGGTGAGCCTCACTGTCCCTGAGGCCAGGTCCACCAGCCCCCCGGCCTCTCCTTCACCTACATCTCTAGTCCTCAGTCCTGATCCCCAGACAGGAGGGAAATCTCAAATGTCAGTGGAGGCCAAGAGATTAAAAAAAGGGTAGGCGTCCACGTATGTGACGTCACCTTGTAGCTTCAGAAGCAGCAAGCCTTCTGACAGAGGGTCTGGGGGACAGAGCTGTGGCCATTCCATGTGCTCAAGCCCCCAGATAACCTGTTTCCATTTCCTTTTCAAGCCCCGTCTATTTGTTCTTAGAATTTGGGACTCATTATTCTGCAGCCAGGCATGGACATTTTTCGTTCCTTACATCGTGAGTTTGCATTAATCGATTTGTGAATATCGCACTAGCCTTGCCTACCTGGAATAAGTCCCACATGGTCACGGATCGTGACTCTTTTGACAGACTGTTGAATTTAATTTGCAACGTTTTCTCTTCTATTTCTTTTTGTTTGAAACTAGCGCATGTGCTACAAAGCAGTGAAATAAGTTTCAATGTTAAGATGTTTTCTTGAGGACGTTTGCATCTACGCACATGGGCTCTCGGTCACTTGTATTTTCTTAACGTACCATCATTTATAAGAGGCTTTAAACTTCAATCCAATAAATGCTTCCATTTCCTCATTGTAACAACTTTTCATTTTGAACCAATTTTAGACTCACAGAAACATGGCAGAGCAATACGGAGAAGTTCTGTATATTTCTCACTCAGCTAACCCTCATGCTAGTATTCTACTTTTTGAAAAAGCAAAACTTTAAAAAACGGCTGTGTTTCTACTCCATATGCCTTCTTCAGCATGAGTCCCAGGCTGAGGGACAACCTCATGTGGGGCATGTCATTCTCCTGGTAACAGAGGAAAGTCATGGCCAACCAGCAGTTCGCAATAAACTTCGTCTCATACATGGTATATGTATATGAATCTTCTGTTCACATCTACTAGGCCAAACAAGTTATATGGAAAGTTCTGTAGCAATGGGTATGAAGTGCACTTTGCCCACAAGATGGGTGACGAGATGGGTAGAGGTGGGTACAGGTGGACCCAGGAGTCAGTGAATATATTGAGCACACTACACACACGTCATAGCAATCAAACAGTACCCCTGATAGCCCTGGTGGCGTAGTGGTTACTCTTGGGCTGCGATCCTTAGAGTCTGTGGTTTGAAACCACCAGCCACTCTGAAGGATAAAGATGGGGTTTTCTACTCCCATAAAGAGTTGTAGTCTAGGAAGCGCACAGGGGCACTTCTATCCTATAGGAACTATGGCATCGCTGTAAGTCAGTATTGGCTCCATGACAGGGAATTTGGTGGTGTTTTTTTAGGAAACTACTCATTGGAAAGCTCCTGAGGAAGAGAAAGAGAGAACTTCGAGTGACCACTTCCTTGAAAGGCAGCTGGGCAGCTGGGTCTAATGTGGAAGTCTCTCCACTGTCCACATTTGGGATCTTTGATGTTTACACAGAAATCAGAGGCCAGGCGAGGAAATTGCACATGGTAAATGATTTGCTGGCATTTATCTCCAAACCCTCCACAGAGCGAGGGTGGCCTTGCTCTCACGGTGCTACCCAGCTCACGTGCCTCATCTCGCGCTCCCAGCACCTGTCTTCTGCATTTCTGGGACCCTCGTGTCCTTCCCTCCTAGGTAATACAGCACTGGGAATGCAAACCCAATGCCAGGCCTCATCATTCTCCCTGCGGAATCGTGGTTTGGATTCTGAAACACAACAAGGGTGTGAGTGGAAAAACTCCAAACTCACTATCAACAAGTAGATTCCAACTCATAGCGATCCTATGGGACAGGGTAGACCTGTCCCTGTGAGTTTCTGAGGCTGTAACTCTATAGGAGTAGAAAGCCCTATCTTTGCCCTTCAGAGTGGCTGGTGGTTTTGAACTACTCACCTTGGGATTAGCAGCCCAATGATGAAGTCCCAATAAAGCCTGGAATTGAACCCAGGTACCCATGTAGGGTTCCATTTTGACCAATGTGCTATTGTCATGGAAGCTGTTACCCATGGGGACACAGCTGATGGAAATGAGTGTCAACAAAGTTGTCACAAAAATTACATTATAATTTTTATTCTCTTTTTCTATGCACATTTTTATGCCCCTCCCCCTTGTGGTAGTTATATAATTTTTTTGTCAACTTGAAGACATAGAAAGGCATAGTGGTGGGTCCAACTGTCAATCAGATCAAAGCCTGCTGCTGTCTCCTTGAGGGTATGCCTTATTATAAGGAGGACCCTAGGGCCCTCACTTTCTCTCTCTACTTGCTGACCCTGATGGTGCCAGAGCCCTGTCAGGTTGACGACAAGCTTGGATCCACATGACTCTGCACCCTGTGATCTTCCTGCATTCTACATCATTGATTGATTACAGATTGTTAATTATTTTCAAATCTCACATTGACCACTGTCTCCCTTCCCCTTTGGTTTCTGTTGTTCTTCCTCCTGGATGGGGGTGTGTGGTTATGTGTCATTCATTGCGATCAGTGTCCCCCTCCATCCCCAGCTCTTCCCCCCTTCCCCCTACCCTTTGGTATCTCTA